CACTGACCTCAGCACTGTCTCCATGTGCAATTGTGGCAGGGCTGGAGCTCCACAAGGAGCTCCCAGTGGGACAAAAGCTTTCCCTGCACACCCACAGCCTCTGGGTGACGAGGGGCAGGGCTGAAGAGACCCTTGAGCTGTATGGGGAGATCCCCAACAGCCCTTAGGCCTTCAGCCCCTCCTGCTCTGGGGGTGGCAGTGACCCCGGGGGCTGCAGGAGAGCTGGTGGCACCAGAGCTGTGTTTTGGGGTGTGGGCAGCCCTGAGCTGCAATTTTGGGGACAACCAGGCTCCCCTGGAGTTACCATCCCCCCCAGAGCCAGTATTAACACTGTCAATAAGAGGTTGGAATGGAACTTGGAGATTTGTGACATCACAGCATGACAGCGTGTTCTACCACTGACCCACCCAACATCAAAGTGTCCCCAGAGTGTCCTGGTGTCCCCAGAGTATCCCAGCTCCACCGAGGGATGCAGGGGGCAGGATGGGTGCTGCTGGGGGGATCCTGCAGCTCCAGCAGCCTGCGCTGGGCTCTGCTGCGGATCCTTCGCAAACTGCATCCATCCACCCCCACACAGTCACAGGCCGATGACAGCTCCCGCGTTTGGCTGCTGGGAACAGCCTGTTCGGGTGCTGAGCCCAGAGTTCCTGGTGCTGGAATCACAGGGCGCCAAGAGGAAGGATTCCATGGGGTGACAGAGGCAAAAATGTCAGCCCAAATCCCTCGTTTAATCCCTTAGCAGCGCTGGGAACGGCTCCCGCTGCTTTAGGGATGCTGCAGCTCAGAGGCTGTGCCTCTTTCAGCAAAATTCAGCTCACACTGATGCCTGGCTCTCTCTTTTCCAGATCCAAAATGACGGTCAAAGCTGTAAAAATGCCGTGCACCTCTGCAAACGTTTATACTAAAGTGCCTGACGGAGGATGGGGCTGGACAGTGGCTTCTGCATTCTTTGTGGTGGAAGCCCTGACATATGGTATCATCAAGTCATTTGGAGTCTTCTTTAACGACCTGATGGAAAGCTTTGACGAAACCAACAGCAGAATATCCTGGATAATATCCATATGTGTGTTTGTACAGGCCTTCACAGGTGAGAGGAGCAGGCCTTGAGCACAGGGGCAAGGGGCAGTTGTGCTGCTGACTCAGCACACAGCAAACTGGTACCTGTGACTTTCGTGTCCCTAATGGCTCTGTCATAAATGAAATTGCAGCCATAAAGCCCAGAGGCTGCATGATCCTGAAATTCCAAGCAACGTCTCAGCCTGGCAGTCCTTTGAGCCCTGACTCGTGTCCTTGCGTGGTGCAGGGACATGGTCTGTGTCGCTGGGCCTGGCACAGCCGTTCGGGTCTCAGCAGCAAAGAGGCAAAAACCCCCCAGAGTTGTGAAACCAAACTCTGCAGTGAAAAGGGTTAGAACTAACTTGAGCCTCACTGAAATCCACCAGCGTTGGGGGGATGTGGCTGAAGGTTTGTCCCAGGCTCCCACACACTGGTTTTTCATCTCTTCTGATGAATTTTTAGCATGTCCTAAGTGCCTTGAGCTGTGCAGTGCTCCAAGGGTGGCTCCAGGGTGATGCTGTGCTGTGTGGGGAGGTGGCACCTCGTGGGGACCTGGGCAGGAGTATGAGAAGTGCCTCTGAAGGAGCTGGTGAAGTTGCTGAGTTGGGTGTTGACCGCAGCTCTCTTCTCCTCCAGCTCCATTGTCCGCTGTCCTCAGCAACCGCTTCGGCCACCGCTTGGTGGTGATGGCTGGAGGGGTACTGGTCAGCACTGGCATGGTCATTGCCTCCTTCGCCCGCACTGTCGTGGACATGTATGTCACCATTGGCATCATCTCTGGTGAGTCCTCCTCTCCTGCCGAAAGCGCCGCGCTCTCCTGCGGCTCACCGTGAGCGCGTGGGGGTTTGACTCCTCCCCGGACAGGGAGAGCTTGAGGAGTGCTGCTCCCCCTCCTGAGCTGAGCTCACCCTCCCAGAGAGGGGCTGAGCTGTGCTCCAGGCTTGGCTTTCTGCCCTGGGCACCTCCTGGGACTGGTAGAGCACTGCACGCACTCAGCTGGACTGGTCGCTGGGCTGGGGTCACTGGGAAACAGAGATTCTCACGGGGTCAAATCCTCTACTCACTCCCCTGTCTTGTTTTTCTTTTCCTGATACTTTTTCCTCTCTCCAGCCTGGGTGTCCTGCTCACACCCATGGCCAGGAGCTTGCCTCACTTATGGGAGCAGTTGCTGCAAGCTCAAACTTTAGATAGATGAGGTCCTCAAAGTGGACCCCACTGGCTGTTTGGGAGCAGAAGGCATTATCTAGCAGGTTTGGGAGGTTGGGTCTCTTGATTTTATTTCCTTTTTTCTTTCTTTCTTCTTTTTCCCCCTTCCAATTTACAAAAAAAATAACATTCTGGTTTCCCCAATGATTTTCTTCCAGGGCGACTTGCTGAGTTGGCCAAAATGATATTGTAATCACCACCGGGAAAGCTGATTTAACCTGTTCTTACATCGGTGTTTCCCTCCTTTACTTGTTGTTATGGCAATTTTTGGCATTTATTCACAGGCCTTGGATACTGCCTCTCCTTCCTCCCGACTGTCACCATTTTGTCACAGTATTTTGACAAAAGGCGTTCGCTGGTCACAGCGGTGGCATCTACAGGGGAATGTTTCGCTGTCTTCTCCTTCGCACCAGGTACAGTGCCCTGGGAGCTCACACCTGCATGCCTAAAGCACAAAGCTGTTCCCATCCTTTTCCCAAGGGAATGGGAGCCAGAGGACACCACACTATCTATGTTAAGGGGTTGGAATGGAACTTAAGAGATCATCTCATCCAACCCCATCAAAACCAAGTCCGTGCTCAGGGACTAAAGCCCACAGGTGGTTGCTCACATGCCTGTGGCACTCAAGCCCTGCAGGGCAGGGTGACAAATAATCCTAGAGACTGATGCCCAAACCCTCCCCAGTGTGATCTGCCAGCACAGGCCATGCCTGGCTGATACACAGCCTGACAGGCTCCCTGTGTAGATCTGGGAGGCTAAAAATAAGCCCGAGAAACTTCAGCTATTTAAAACATACACAGAACACATAACTGCTCCTCAAGGTTAGTGCTGAGCACAGGCTGCAGAGCTGCTCCAGCTGTCTGGGGACCTGTCCCCAGGCAGCAGGGCCCTGCCACCCCCTGGCAGTGCAGGTGGTCTCTCACTCCTGCTTGCAGCTGAGGCCTGTTGCAGGGCTGCTTTGCTTGCAAACCAAGCTGCTAATCAAGCAGTGACAAGCACCTTTGAGTTGGGCTAAGACACTTCCTCTGCTAGCTGGTTTCAGGGTGGGGTTGGCTGCAAGAGGAAACTCGAGTGTTGAGTTCTCTCTCCTTCACTAGAACTAACACCCCCTTCATCCCCAGACTCACTGGGACCTGAAAAGAGGCTACCCATAGAGTGGCTTCTGCCAGCCAGGTGGTAAACACAGCTTCTAGCTTTTGCCTGCTGCAGCTGAAGGGGGGAGGAAGGTGGGTGCCAGAAGGAAAGACTCCTTGCTCAGCCTTTGCAAGAGCACTTGGAACCCTCCAGCAGTGAAGCTCCGGTTAAGCTCCATGTGAATTTACAGCTTCCCTAGCTGTAAATTCAAGTAGCTCCTTGGTGTGACCGCAGGCATCCCTAGTTATACTTTCTTTTTGTCTCTGTCCTCTCCACTCAGCAATCACAGCTCTGAAGGAGCAGATTGGCTGGAGGTACAGCCTGCTTTCTGTCGGGGTGCTGCAGCTGGGCATCGTGACCTGCGGGTCACTGCTGCGACCCATCATCATCAAAGAGCAGGAAGAAGTGAAAGCACAACCTCCAGAGGAGTCCACAGAGACAAAATACATGCTTGAAAACGAGCAAACCTGCACCTCAATAGAGTCCATAGACTCAGGAGTCGAAATAACTACCTCACCCAGCAATGTGCCTGGAAAAACCAAAGCAGAGCCGAAAAGTGACGAACCAAAGCAACACGGACAGATTCCTGTTGACAATAACAGCGCCCTTCCAGCACCAAAAACCAAACTACTGGACTTCTCTGTGTTGAGAGACTGTAGCTTTATCTGTTATGCATTCTTTGGCCTGTTCGCAACTCTGGGCTTCTTGGCTCCATCCCTCTACATCATTCCCCTGAGTCTCAGCCTCGGCATCGACAAAGACCACTCTGCCTACATCCTGTCAGCCATGGCCATCGCGGAAGTCTTCGGAAGAGTCTTTGCTGGTTGGGTCCTCAACAAGAAGCCCATCCGCAAGATCTACATCGAACTCATCTGTGTCATCCTGCTGTCCATAGCACTGTTAGCCTTCCCTTTAGCCTTTGAGTTCTGGGGCTTGATGACATGTAGCATCTATTTTGGGTTCATGCTCGGCACGGTAGCGGGCACACATATTCCCCTCCTGGCAGAAGACGATGTGGTTGGCATCGAAAAGATGTCTTCTGCAGCTGGAGTCTATATCTTCATTCAAAGCTTAGCTGGGTTGGCTGGACCACCCCTTGCAGGTAACTCTAAAACTTTTCCTCTCGTTGGGCTTTTTTGGAATGTTTGACAGCTGTTGGGGCTGATCTGTGCCTGGAGAGTGTTCTGGCAGCGCTAATCATAGCCTTAAAGCTTTCCAACTAGTATTAGGAGACTCTCAGAGCCAGAAGACTACTGCAATGCAGCTCTGCAGAGTCCCACGGACGAGGCAGTCTCCACTGAGGAACCTCAGAGGGAAGGGAAATACTGCAGTGCTACCCTGATCCTGTCAGAAACCCAAACCTGGCACCACTTCAGGCGCTAGCAGCCGGCAGAGGCGAATCCCTCTCGCTGTGCCTGTGCCACGCACTGCAGAAAGGTGAAGCCTCTAGCAGAACAAACAAATGCCTGATGCATCTCAGGCTTAGCATCCCTGCGGTGCCCAGAGGCTTCTGACTTGCCTGGAGATGACACTGTGTACCCCTGAACAAAGTAGTGTTCAGTTTTTTTGTTTTGTTTTTTTTTTTTTTTTGAGATGGCATCTGTTTGTCATTAAGATAAAATGATGCAGAGGTACCAGGATTAAAAATCCTGCAGGAGGAATGGCTGGGCTGGGAAGAGGGGGAGTTGGCTGTGGCTAATTGCTGTTCATGTTTTCTGTAGGTGTCTTAGTGGATACAACAAAGAACTACAGCTCAGCCTTCTACTCCTGTGCTGCTGGCATGGTCCTGGGGGCTGTGTTTCTGGCCCTGGTGAGGCCGTGCAAGACTGGGCTGTGCCGCCACCACCACCAGCAGCAGCAGCAGCAGCAGTGTGTGGAGGAGAACGTGGCAGGGCCTGCACCAGAATTACCAGATGACTTTATTGACATGGATATTGGTAAAGCAGAAAATTCATGCAAAGGCTGTGATAACATGATATAAAAAAAAACCCACCCTGTTCCTTCTCCATCTAATGTGCTCTGCGTAAGGCTGGGGAAAATGTCAGCTCTGCTCCACGTTTCAAAACTACATTCTAAAGGGAATGTGAAATTTTAAACATGAACAATTGCTACCAACAACTTCCTCTTTTTTTTTTTTTTTTTTTTTAAATATTAAAACTTTTTTAACCAACAGTGGAAAAGCTCCATAGAAAATACAGATAGCCACGTAAGAATAACTTCTGCCTAGCATGAAGATGTGATGCACACTCTTGCTTTCCTGTTAACAAGCATAGGTAAAGGTTCAACTGATCCCATAAATACTGACAACAGCAGAAGCAGCTCAGCCTCTGACTGTCACCCATGCCCTGCCACAAACTCCATGCAGACAAGATTGAACTGGAGATGAGAATTTCATACACCACCAGTAGCCAACTGAATCTTCTTCTGGAGGAGCACAGACTGATATTTTAGCTTAGAGGAGGAGGCTAGGCTAGATAGCTGACAATTAGAAACCATTGCTAATGATCTTTAACTTGAATGTCACAAATGCTGGGAAATCAAAGGCTCCGTGTGTCTTTATGGCCAGTTCTTACTGCACATATCCCATAAGATCATTTTTCTTCTCCTCCTGACTGGGATCCTTAGAACTGTTTTCTATTGATAGTCAGATCTCACACACTGTTTCTAATTTAACTAGTATTTATTAATTTATTCTGAGATTGTTAATGGAGGTTTGCTTAAATAACCGGAGAGGAAAAATGATCTTCTGCATAATGGAAAGCTCTTTCCATCAGTCTCTTCAATGCCTATCTTGTATTGCTTGTGAAATTGTTGGGGAAATCACTCTTGCAGCATAAACTGTAGCTGTTTTTGGTAGGTAAATCTTAGGTAATCCAGTTATTGAAAAAGGGAAAAAAAGGAATAAAAATTAACAAATTACAGATCCAGCATCTCTTTCCATGGCAAAAGGCCTCAGCTGGTGTTGGTGGCACCACTGCTGTAACCAGCCCACCCTGCAGGGAGGATTTGGCCAAGTATGTCTTAATGTACCCAAGACCTTCGCTCACAGGTGCACAAGGAACTCTCTCTGCCACATCCCCGACCGAGTGTGGAACCCTCTGTGCAGCTGAGCTGCAGCTCTTCCCCACCTCTCTCTGCTCCCCAAAGGCAGCAAGAGGATTTTTTTGGGTTTTTTTGTTTGCTGCTGACGTCAGTGAGAAACGAAGTGGAGCCTGTGCGCGCTGACGGTGGGAAGGGAACGACAAAACAACGTACGAGCTGTTCCACGAGTCTTAAGGGGAGAGATTCCTACTCAAAGTGACATGAGCTTGCTTACCCCACCTATATGCATCTTACTCACCTCTAGGCAACTCAGGGGGACAAGTCAAACAAGTCTGTTCTGGTTTGGAAGAAAACCCAAACCACCATTTCTGTGTATTGAAGTGGCATCATCCATTAACTGCTCTGCTGACCTGTCTGTGTATAAAAGCGGGGGAAAATCTGTAAAAGAACAACCTCTTTTTTTTCTTTTTTTTTTTTTTGGGAAGGTGCTTGATTTGTTTTGGGGGTTTTTTTCCTGTCTTAGATGTTAAAAAAAAAAATAGTAAAATAAAAAAAAAAAGGAAAAAAATCGAAAAAAAAGAAACAGGCACTCTTACAACCAAGTGGCTAGAGCAACTCATCCTCACTGCCCGAGACCCACGGTCTCGTGTCCTTCCTCTGCCTCAGCACTTTATCACGGCCAGCAAACCTCGCTGCATTGCACCCAGGACTGGAAGATCCTTTACAGAGAACTAGAGTTGTGTGAATCAGTGATATAATGAATAAATAACCCACGTCGCGTTCAAGGTGTACTTTTTATTTATTGTTAATTTATGATACTTCAAGCGTTGGTTTTTTTTTTGGTTTGGTTTTTTTTTTTTTTTTTGGTCAATGTCCTGTAGCCTATAATTGTCAGATTATTTGAAGTCTTTGTGATACGAGACCTCACTACAGCACTTTGCTATTACAACTGCTTGGAAGTGGAATTAGGCCTCCAGGTTTTGCGTGTGTGTGGAAGCTCCCTGTTCTGCAGATTTGAGAGGTTCTACTGTAACTTAGCTTGGTTTTTTTTGGTTTTGTTTTTTTACAGCAGTTTCCAATACAGATCAAATAACAGGTTTGTCACTGACCTCACAGTCCCTTTCTGTTCCTGTCTGTGTAGCAGCATGAGCAGGGGAGCGAGTGGTGAGTATGTGTGTGTGGGCACAGCAGACCCAGAAACAGGATTTACTGATTTGTTTGTAACGTACCTAGTGGACTCTGGAAATACTCTAAACACTGAGTTTTGCAATAAACTTTTTCTTTTTTAATTTTTCTCCTTGTTTTCTTTCAAATAATAAACACAATGAGGAAACTTTACTCCTCTCCCTCTTAGAATCATAGAATCAACCAGGTTGGAAAAGACCTCCAAGATCACTAAGTCCAACCCTACTGTGGTTACTAGACCATGGCACTAAGTGCCACATCCAGTCTCAGCCTGAAAACCTTCAGGGATGGTGAATCCACCAGCTCCCTGGGCAGCACATTCCAATGCCTGATCAGACTCTCCATAAAAAATCTCTTCCTAATATCCAACCTAAACCTCCCCTGGCAGAGCTTGAGTCTGTGCCCTCTTGTCTTACTGCGGGGAGAAGAGACCAACCCCCACCTGACTCCAACCTCCTGTCAGGGAGTTGCAGAGGGTGAGAAGGTCTCCCCTGAGCCTCCTCTTCTCCAGGCTGAACACCCCCAGCTCCCTCAGCCTCTCCTCATGCCACTTGAGTCCCTTGCCCAGCCTCGTTGCTCTTCTCCATCCCTGGGATGCCCCAAAGTCGCAGTTTCCCCTGGGAGAGGGTTCACCCAGAGTGACTGTCACATGCCACTTCCCCAGCCTGAAGTGCTTTTCCTGCACATTGGGCAATCTAAGCTCTCCAAAGGAGCTGCCTGAAAGCTGGTGGATTAGTGCTGACCTCAAGGGTGCTCTTGTAAACCCTTACCCGGGGAGCCCTGATTAGAGGGAGCCTTTTCTTCTCCTGAGTGGTGCCTGAATTGGTGGCACTTAGCAGCATTACCCTCGTGCCTCCAAGAAGCATGCAATCATGTAATTATTTGATCATCTCGGAATTGCTGAATACTTTCTCCATGCCAGGCTAAGCAACTTGTGCACCAGAAATCTATTTAGTTTTAAAAAAAAAATTCCACTGAATAGCAGAATAGTCACACTAAAGAGCAATTTTCTCTCCCTCGAACCTGATTTCTTTTCACACCAGCTGAGATATGCCCTTCCCTGCTCACCCTGTAGCTCCCAGCATCACCAAACCCTACAAGGAGTAACACTGCCTAGTCCCAAATTTCACTGCATGCATTAGCTTTGCAAATGAACTGCTTGCTGGAGGAATCATCACCCCACTGATGTATGTTAAGCACAATTTGTTTTCATAGCTGTTGCAAAAGTCCTAGAACAGAGGTGATCGTGCATGCAAGCAGAGCAGGGCAGAACACAAATACCAAAGTCCCAGGAAGCTAATCTGTCTCCAAATTTGACTTTGGCTTGGTTACAGCAGTGAACAAACATTATTTGCAACAGCTTCCTCAAAAACAACCCCCCCTGAAAAAAAAAAAAGGCATTACAAAGGCTGCACACAGTTCACATAAAGAAAAGCACATTAAACTAGCACTATCAGATGTCTCCCTGCACAGAAAGACTTCCCAGTCGCTTTTCCCACCTGGATTAAATTAATTGCCTGTGACCTTCTCTGTTATCCTAGTACAAAGGCATTAAGGCCAGAACAAAATAGGATAAGAACACTTATATTTATTCAGTGGCACTGTATATCTACTTAGCACCATGGTAAATAGGAGGAGAATGTGGGGCAGAGCGTGCTTCAGTATTCCTCTCCAAAGGGGTTGTATAAACTCCTGGAGTCAATGAGGACAGTGCCAGCCAAATGTAAACAGAGGAAATTACACAAGGTCAGCTCACAGGAGCCCAGAAGGCCTCAGACCATAGGTATCTGTCCTTTCTGAGGCAGAAAGGGAGCTGGAAAGTGAGTTTTTGTTTGTGACTTTAGGATCTTTAAATAAACCCCAAAACAACAAAAATCCAATTTTTCATTTCAAATGAAAGGAACCTCTTGGTCTTGTCACTCACTTCAATAAGCTGACACTAGGTACTTAAGGGGACAAATGAATCTTTAAAAATAGCTAAACTGGGTTTGGAAAGCAAGCAAAGTAGGTGCTTACAAAACAGCTCGAATATTTTAACATGTCCCTTCAGATGTTACTTGTTACCATCTGAGATCACTGTGTTCCTGCTGCCTGTAGTAAACATGACCTGAATTCTCACAGTGATGCAAGCCCAGCAACAGCAGTCTGGCCTTCCTTCCTCTTCCAAACTCATCTGAAAGCTGCTTCACAGGTTGGGGTTGGGAAAACCCTTGGGAAAACAGCTCTTCTGGCTTGGTTTGAGGGCTGAGAGACACAGCACTGCAGCCCAGAGGGATTGTTTGATATGTCATATCCACAACAAAAGACAGGACCCTTCAGGAATAAAGACAGGAAGAAATTCAGGAAGCCCCTTCTGATGCCTGACAAGCCTTTCAGGGAAGAAATTCAGGAAGAAAAGGGCTCTCAAGCATTGGAACAGGCTGTCTGGGGAGTGGTGGAGTCACCATTCCTGGAGGTGTTCAGGCAATGACTGGATGTAGCACTTAGTGCTCTGATCTAGAAATTCAGGAAGCCCCTTCCAATGCCTGGCAAACCTTTCAGGGAAGAAATTCTTCCTAAATTTCTTCCCTGAAAGGGTTGTCAGGCACTGGAATGTGCTGCCCAGGGAGGTGGTGGAGTCACCATCCCTGAAGGTGTTCAAGAAACAACTGAATGTGGCACTTAGTGCTCTGGTCAAGTTGACAAGGTGATGATCAGCCACAGGTTGGACTTGATGAGGTCTTTTCCAACCTAATTTATTCTATGATCCTTGGT